GTGTACCTCTCACCTTCCCCCCCTTCTGATTAGTGCCTGCTCCTGATCTCTCACATCTGTCTTGACTTCCAAAAGAAACAGATTTCATACATGTAACACTCTTGGGATTAAAACTTTATTGAAAGGTTGACTGTTTCGGGGAACATGCTGCTTTATTTTTCCTACTGTTACACATGCGAATGAAATGGCCGGCGTGTACGAGCAGCTCCGCTGGTCTAGCGGAGCTTACAGTAGGTTTTGATTAAGGACATTTAGAGGAAAGTAGTTTAGAGAGTTGAAACTGCTTCTTCTCTATGTTCATCATCCACATTTTCAAATTTTCTCCCATTCTGACAAACATGCTTGAGATGTATCAATTCGGTAATTCTCCATTTAGCATTGTTCGTGGTTTATTAGTTTACCTCCCACACTAACACTTGAAATGATTTAATAACCACAGGGGGAGTTAACAGCACTCATTAGCAGATGCAATATTTCCTGCATGGTTATCTACCTTTGGAAACAAACTGGATGTGCAGTCTGCAGTGGAATGTAACAAAGCCAAGTCAAAAAGTGTAGTGGTAAACTTGTACTTTACTCAATACACTGAGACAATATTGCATTTTAAGCTATATTTACTTTACTTTAAATGTACTTTTTGGTGTTGATTACAATTAATCAGTCATCTGCTGTTAATTTGCAGGTGAAGATTTTAAAACAAATAATCCGTTGTAGATGAAACTACTCAAAAGTACATAAAGTATTTATATTCAGCTCCTCCTCGACCAGCAACAACAGTAAAGCGCTAATTAAATGCTTTTTCATTTGCATAAATGATTCAGGAATATAATACACAATAATATCATTCTGCAAGAGCAATGCTGCTGCATACTTTTAATGTTAATACTTCAAGTCCATTTTACTGCTAATACTTCTGAAAGCATGATTTGTACGACTACTGGAGTGTTTTTACACTGTTGTACTGCTACCTTCTAGGAAATTAAAGATCTGGATACTTCTTCCACCTGCTTCTCACACATACATCAGAATTTTTTAAAGGCACCATTTCCTGGATATTAGGTTGAAACCAAGAAGCAGATTGAGCCAACATCCACGCTACTTGTCTACGTTTTCACATGTGCAAGCGTAATGAAGACAAAGCGCGCGCACGGCAGCGACAAATATCAGGAAATAAATAAAATAAAGTATCCAAACCAGATGAAAGACTGTTCATAATTGGGTTAGTAATGTCTCTGGCACCGTCTGCTCGGTCATTTCCTCCAATCTCCCCGAGCAACAGGGGATGATACAGGCGACACTCAGACCAGGAGGGATGCTCGCTGCCATGTGACAGGCTGCCTTCTTGCATTCTTTCACCGTCCTCGCCACCAATTCTGATACAAGGCAGCAAGGAAAAGACGAGCGTCCTCCTCAGATGCAACACTCGCAGTGGTTTCGCAAATCTTTTAATGATTTGCGACCCCTTTGTGGACGGCAAAATTGTGAACTCATGCACCCATAACTTCTCACTTAATCTGTATTACTCTCATCACAACAGAGCAAGCCACTCTATCAGTAAATGCTAATCTCCTAATTAACAAGCTAATTAGGCAATTACAGCTTTGCAGAAGGATGCCTAAATGAAATATGACAACACAGTCACTTTCTACAGCACCTGTGGGTCTTTTCAGATGTCACAATGAGAAGCATGATGACAAAGTGTTGTCTCTGCACTCATAGGTGCTTATTCCTATGCCTCGCTTAGCTCATTTGTAAAAATATTGTCATTTTATTTAACCTAATCTACACTACTTGTGGAAACAACTTGTCAAATTACAAGTAAATGATTTCTCTTTGGATAAACTGACCCGCATCACGGCAGCCTTTTTACTGCAATGTGGCTTTAGAGGTAGAGCAGAAAACAGCGGTTAGCACGAGCTCCTGGTTATGTAAACACAGTTTTGCGAACTAGTCGTCCCACAGTGTCTTACTGTAAGGAGCTGTCACACACGGAAATGAATTATGTTGACATATGGCTGAAAACAACGGCGAATAGGCCTGCTATGCAATGCAATGAAGAATCATGCACTGCAACAGAGGAGAGGAGCCGGAGCTGTACCTTTGAGCCCTTCTTGACAGGTATGTAGTGTGACTTGACAGCTCAGTATTTCAATGATAAATGCAGTAGTCCTGGGACTCCCATTCACTAAACTCAAGAGTGTGTTGCTCCGATACTTCAAGGTCAAATGAATGAGCAGAACCACACAAGGCCACTAAAGACGATCTGTATTGTTTTCACATACTGAAATCGATTGCGAGATTAAGATTTCCAACTTTAGTATTTATTACTTGCGGCTCAGTAAACTTTACAATGTTTCACCATCAGTGATGTTCACACCTCAACCCTGATGCTGAGAGCTTATTAATAAAACTACATATATTTACACATTTGGATTCAAATCTATTTATCTATTATGTCATTTATTTTCTGATATCTTCCACTCTTTTTGTCGACTACAAATTGAAAACCAGACAGGTGCCAGCATGTCTTCTGTCATTCTGGTCAAATAATCAAAAGCGGAACAGTTATTTTAAGTAATGACTCACCGGATAATGATTTCAAATTAATTTCTTTTCCTAAAGTTTCTTCCTTTTTCTGAAGATTAATCTAGTCGCTCAGTTCTGACTCATGAAGATGAATCAGACTGTTCACGACTTTGCACTGACCCTTCAGAACATACGGTCTGTTGGGAACATGCAGGATTGAAGACGATGGCTGACTGATACCAGGAGAACGTTTTAATTGGCCCGTTTAACTCAGTAAGAGAGAAGATGTTTGTAATAATGAGCAACAAACATGCAAATGCAATAAGATATGGTGAAAATTGTGTTTTTTTTATCAATCCCGTTATGTCCATCAGCTCTATAGTGAGAAAAGTTGACACATCAGTTAACTAAGTGTAACATCACTGTCAAAACACAATATACTTTGGAATAATTACCGTAAAGAGGTAAGAAGTGCTGCGAATGTTGATCAAATTCAAACCTCACATTTTCTAAAAGACTAGCTTTTTGTTTGTTTCCTTTCAGTTGAGATGTTTACTCTTTTTTTTTTAAATTTGTGTTTTGCTGCTCGGATGCAAAGGTTTTTATGATAAAATACTGCACAGATACATTTAAAGGCTGATTGTAATGAAGAACACCACTGTCAAAAAAATCAGTCTGTATGTGCCGATCACTCAAAGTGCTAAATGGTGCTTTGAAAGAGAAAAAAACTTGCAAAATATTTTGTACGCATGACAAAAATGAACAGTTAAGCTGAGCGAAACTGCCACAAACTAGACACTTTTCTAATTTTCACAGAAAGGTTAAAGTTTCCGACACCGCCGACGACCGCAAAACCACTAAAGTTCTGTCTTGGGCAGCAGATCAGGAGCCTCAGAACGAAGCGTTCTCCGACGAGGATCCCTGTTTCACTCATCAGTGTCCAACTTCAAAAAGCAGAGTAATGAAACTGACATTAAAAATAAAGAGAACGTGTGGGAGACATTTACCACCTGGGTTTTACAGGGGTATTACTGACCGTTTCACTTATTTCAAATGGAATAGATGGGATTTTAGGCAGCTTTCTCTCCCTCTTTTTTGGATATCCAGTGAAACACTGGATGAGTGAACTATTTAGAAGGTGTTCTCTGATGCCAACTTTTGGGAGAAGTGTGGTTGTTTTGGCTCCTGCAGGACAGCGTTTGAAGAGTTATCCTTATGTCGTGACTTTAGGATCAAATCATGTATGTCAAAAGTTCAGCACAGAGGCCTTTCACAGCTCAAATCCCTCCCTGGAAACATGTGCTGCCTCTCCTTAAAACTTCAAACCTCCCTATCTGCACCCAGACATTCTTTATTCCTGCACAAACTCCCTTAAACTGAAGGCAACCCCTTAATTTTTTTTTTTTTCTTCTCCTCTCCCTTTTTTTTTTTTCTCCCCCCCTCCTCATGAGTCCATGATCTCGATGCTTACTGTAGAGGTGCACAGTATATTTGCTGCCATGCACCCAGCTCAACAACTTGTCTGCTGCCATAGCAACTGCGGAGGAGCACGGAGCAGCGCCGCCTGCTTGTGCAATGGATGTCACTCGTGGCAACGACCAATCAGAAGTTGCCATCCCTTTTGTGCGAGCGGTGTGAAGATGGAGGGATGGAGTGGGTGGGCTCTCGGCATCATGCATCTGCCAGTAATAGGACACGCGGATCGTCAGTCTTCGTCATTCCGAGCCGGGATTGGTCGAGGAGCTTTACTTTCCAATAATATAAACATGTCTACTGCTTTCCTGGCTTGAACCAAGGCTTACAGGGGACTATGCAGTTCTACATCAAACTGTATAAAAACTCTCATTACGTGTTCGCCTGTGCGCTCGCAGGGCTAAATCTTTATTACTGCTAGAGAATATGCACATAGCTGTACGTGCACGCGTGAGGAAACGAGGACAGCCCGCTGCCGCCGCTGCAAGAAAGAGAGAGGGGACTCTGGCGTTGCTTTCATCATTATAATCACCATCCTAAGTACTAGCTCTTAACATTTTGTTTTTCGGTGTTCAGGCGAGAAGTGACAAGAATATAGACCCCTCCTCTGCAGGGCGGAGCGTGCATTTTCATTTCGTATTTTGTATTTTTTTTTTCTTCTCTCTCTTCTCCATTATTTTTTTTTTCTACCCCTGTTCCCTGCTCTGACACGTCTGCACTGAGTGAGTGGCATTGGCACACTGTCAATCGCTCACTACCGCTGCCATCAAACAACATAAAACACACACAGGCAAGAGGCTGGAGCTCATAAATTTCAGCAGGGCAAAGATATTTTTTTGCGCATCGCCTTTACACAGCGCTGTATCCTAATTAATTTCTTCTTCGCTGTTGCTTTTTTTTTCTTTTCTTTTTGTAAAAGCAGAAATCCCCCAACTTTTTTTTTTTTTTTTTTTTTTGCTTGTTGGTATATTTCATTTTTTTCCCATTTTTTGAAAATAGTCACATTTGGACACCTTATGCTGCAGGTTGTGTGTTTTTTGTAAGAAAATACAGTCAGTTGACGCGGGAATTTGCACATTTACTATTTGGCAACACCTGCAAAGCCTCAGATTGTTTTCTTTTTTTTTTTTGTATTTTTTAAATGTTTTTTTGTATTTGTTTACATGTTTCCACATTGGATATTTTTGCTTGCCGGTGCTTCGCGAGGAAGGATTTGGACATTTTCGAGAGGAAATGCGCCGGGAATCCCATGAAGAGCGCTAATAAATGAGAGATCACCAAAGGAGCGTTTCTGTCTACACCAGCCGTCAAATCCCCGAGAAAAGACAGATTGGTATGAGGATTCGTGCGGGATACGATGGACCGTCAATTTTGACAAAGAAGTTTTAAGAAGAAGAAGACGAGAGGAAAAAAAAAAAAAAAAGATTTATGCGTTTTTTCTACTAACACAGCCACGCGTTTTGGCACTTTGGATCGCGCGTAAAGCAGCGAGAGGACAGCGAGAACTTGGACACAAGATTTACGCTAAAACATCACTGCTGTAGTCTTCATTTTTTTAAAAAGAAGAAGAAGAAAAAAAAAGCCCCGTGTGTGCTCGCTGAGAAAACACACGCACTCGTGCATCATTCTAGTCTGCGGCACATGCTTTAGCTCATTTCGTATATGAGTTTTTCAATTTGTGTGGCTCAGTGCACAGACTCTTTAGCGGCTACCATGGACGATCAAGCCCGGATCATGCAGTCGATCGGCGGTGTCAGTCTGGCCGGCCACTCGGTACAAGGAGGCATGGCACTGCCGCCTCCACATGGACACGATGGGACAGACGGAGACGGAAGAAAACAAGACATTGGTGACATTCTGCATCAAATAATGACCATAACTGATCAAAGTCTGGACGAGGCGCAAGCAAAGTTGGTTGATTTATATGTTTTATTAACTTCGCCCCCCCACCAAAACGCTGAACGCATCATTATTGAGATGTGGCCCCCGCTTAACTTGACTCCCCAGTGCATAACAATAGGCTGCTGGAGTGGCTTAAATGATAATCTTACACTGAGGTGTATTTATTGCAAAGCTTTAACACATGAGAAAGTTGCCACTGAGGGAACAACAGCTTTTTTATTTAAAGTGCCTGACGTGAACCTGAGTGAGGTGTTGTGCCAAAAAAGTTTGTGTGCACACACATATGTGTCCTTTATAAATGTTCATACATTTGCAAAACTACAACTGGTGTCAGAAAATTACAATTCATGCCAGTGGGGTTATAGTATGAAGCAACTGTCACTGGGAGTAATTTTTATAATGGAGTACTGGTCCTATGAAATGAACAGTATTTTAAAAATATTGGATTATTTTAAACTTTGCAAATAATCTACATGTTGTAGAAAAATGATAACTTCTGACAGACATGCGTGGGTTGAAATATTTCAACTATGCCAACTAAAGTTAGTAGCTCAAATAATCCATTTACCTGTTCATATCTAACATGTGATTTATCAGTGAACTTATTTCAATATTTTATCTTTTCTTATACTGAAACAGGAAACATGGACTGAACTGTCACAGAATGAAACCAGCACTCTTCAGCGTTCTCTGTGAAATCAAAGAAAAGACAGGTAAGATTTTTGTGTAAAAAATATTTTAATATCAAACTACAAACTCCAAGAAAAGGAAAAAAACAAAACTGTGTTGGAGACTCAGCACAATAGCACGCTGGCGTTTTTACCTCCCAGTGATCCGATGGCAGCCTGCGTCCAGGTTACAGGGGACCTCTGCCCAAATTAATCAATCACTTTTTTAAATATGTCATTGTGCCTTGCAGGAAAAAAGTGCTGTTGTCACAGTAGCTGCAGTCGGTAGATTCTTTTCCCACCGAAGATGCTCTGCAGGAGTGTCTTTTTTTTCTTTCTCTCCAGCACTGGTTGCTTTGATTTTAAATAGAAAGTGCGCTCCAGCTTTCACCCTCAGCACCCTGGCACTGAACAGGATGGGGGAAATCCCGCAGCATATGCTCTACATAGCTAAGATCACACAGAATTCATGCTTTATAACCTGACAACAATTGCCACGCTTTCAGCACATAAAGGGACTACGCTCTAAATCAATAATTGCTGCTGCACACAGGCTCCTTTTCTACAAATACACTAAGGTGATCCAGGTAAAATGCAAATGCCTGAATCTTACATGGAAAAAATTTATCTTCAAAAAAAAAAAATGCTCTTTATAAGCATCAAGTCTATAAATTTTTATCAACACGGTTGAAAACTTTCAGTGTGCGTGCACACTTACACACACGTATGTGAGCAACAGCTGAAATCACATACAATGTTTTTGTTTCTAACTTTTATGGCTCAAAATTACGATTATTCCAAAAAAGTCATCTTTGTCCAGACATATTGTGATTTCTATACTTTTCCCACAGTGTGCATGGGACGTATAATAAACAGGATCTCTTTAACATTTTAAATGACACACAGTAGAGTTCTAGAGACAGTAGGTTTTATGTTTTTTATGCAGTACATTTATGTCTTCACTCCTGAAATTAGACACAAACTGCTAATGAACAGATGCTTCAAACATTCTAACCACTGCACGTCACTATTTGTTCTCCTCGTGATATGCATTATGTTTCTCTGTTGAGGGAAAAATAAGGATTTAGAAAAGAAAAAGGAAAAACAATTGAGCAGACGTGATGGCTTGTCAGATTTGTGACCTTTGTGCGGTTTATGAGGAAATTAGCTCAGAGGAGATCATAAAAGTTTATGAACTTCCTCAACACAGGTGGCGTCCACAGGGGCAGCCAGAGGGTCCTGGGTCTAGCCGAGGTGCTCTGCTAGCGTTTGTGTGCCTGTTGAATAGAGACAATGAAAGAGACAGAGCAGGAAAAAACACAAGCTCCAGATCAGACGTCGCACAGCAGCTCAGCTTTGATGTGGAAGTGTCTTCCAGAACAAAAGCATCGCTGGAGAACGTACAGCAGAAATAACAGTCAGATAGATGATTTTATTTTCAAACTTAAGCTCTGTTAAGATATTGCTCACATTCCCGGCGAGCCTTCAAGTTACTTTAATCAGATGTTTCACCAGTTTGTTTGTCCAAACTTGTGTCGGCTCTGTGTTGAACGTTTCGGGGCTGTGAACGAAGCTCTCGAGTTGAAACGAGCCACTCGAAGCAGCACCAGAGAGAGAGATGAAACTGAGGAAAAATTTAAAATAAATATGTACGTTTGTGAGAAAGCGCCCGGGAATAAGAGTGTGTCTGAGAAAGAGATGAGGCAGACGAGGAAAGGGAGAAGAAGCTTGTGTGTGTGTGAGTGTGTGTGTGTGTGTGTGTGCATGGTTAACCTGTGGTTTAGAGTCACAGCCTCCCCCTCTTAGCCATTGACAGAGCTCAGCTGGTCTGGTGGCCTTGTTGACCGGCCTGTTTTTCCAGCACACAGTGAGCCTTTCACTGGCTCCTGTAGCATCCTTCACAGGGGCTTCCTTGGCCCTTTCATGTCTGCTCAGATGGCACATGGGACTGCTGTCTTTTAGCCATGGAACACCACCGTTGGCTGAAAACGACTTTTAATAATAAATTTGAAAGCGGTCCAAGAATCATCAGTGTAATTACTGCGCGCATGTATCATGTTATCAGGACTTATTGTCTGCTGTTCGGATGAATAGTGAGCTTTCGCATTATTCTGTGATCAAGGTGGTGAGAGAACGATCCCGGTTTTGATTTTTCTAGTTTTTTTCTTTTTTTTTTGGAAAGGAGAGGGTTTTTAAAAAAGTGCATTTTCTAGTAACGGCGAGACATTTTGAAGACTTTTCAGGGTGTTTAGAAGTTTATGGCACTCATCTAACTGTTATTGTAGAGCCACGGCATATTTCTGCATTGCTAATGCCCTAGAAGTATTAATTCACTTTGATATGCTAATTAGAGAGCATTATGCAAGAAATGAGATTAAGTGGCAGCATGAAGTCATTTGCCTGTCACTAAATTGAGTGTTTTTAGCAGGAGGGTTTTTTTTTTCTCCCCCCCAAATTTTCTTGGTTTTGCATTTAGATAAGCTGAATGTGAGATTCGGCTGGCAAGTGTTGTTCTTTGTCCTTCAGTGTGTGATGGTTTTCTTTTGGTACAAATATAAAAATCTGGAGAGTAAAATTCCCTCATATTTCTAACTGTTTCCTGACAAAGGATGCATTCATGTTGTACCTTTCCCCCCCCTATAGACTTGCATGTGAAGACAATGCATGCATTGAGTGAAAATTGCCTGCCATTCAGATGAGTTTTGCAGTTATTCCTCTGTGCTGGGTTTGTTTTATCCTGCTGGCTACTCCCTTGTCTTGCTCTCATGCTTGGAAGAGAGGCTCACAGCAGCAGCAGCAGCGGGAGCGGCAAGAATAACAAAGGTGAAAGATTACCTCCATATGGTATTTCTGACCAGGAAAAGAGAGGTTCTGTAGCAAGACTCCTCTTTGATGTGAGGTTTAATCAATAGAAAGAGATTACAGAAAACTATTACAGGCTAAATCATGGAGTGCTACAGAGAGGCTTAGCCCTCTCCACAGCTCTCTCAGCTGCATGGCGCTTCTTTTGGCTGCGTATTGACTTGTTGTTTTCCTGACCTTTGACTCATCAGGTTCAGAAACGGGGGGTCTGGAGAAGGTAGGGGAGGGGAGGGAGAGAACGTGGCAGATTCAGCCTGATAAATGCTGCGATCCAGTGTTTAAAGCAGTGGATTAGGGAGGGACTGCACTCACAGGTCGAGCCAATGTCGCCGTTTTGTTGCACATGTTTGATTTGGCCCCCAGAAAAAGCCAAACATGCTTTGGCGTGTGTTTGTTGGGTCGTCTATGTTATATGTAATGTTCAGCTAAGAAAAAAGACTGTGTTAACTAAATACAGTTCAGGATGAGCCTGTAATTAACCACATGCAAGGCAGACTAAAAGCATTACCTGGAGTAAATAGAGTTAGGACTGAGGAGGTAAGCATTTTTGAAATCTACAGGGAACATTAATTTCAATGTTCCCTGACAAAGTTAATGAGCCTTCTCTTTCCAATTGGGTTATTAGAATTAATACCA